CCTCGGAGAGCGGGAATGGCAGATACAGCCTGCCTGGCCCAGATACAGCCAACCCTGCTGCTGGTGCCGTGCCCAGAGGAGCAGGGCAAGTTGCACGTGGGATGCAGTCCAGGTGGTGGAAAAGGGTCTGTTCCCTAGGAGCCTTTTGCTTCCCGATGGCCTGGTGGCATCTGGCAGGACGTCCTAGGCCCAGACGACCATGGAGCCATTGCCAGGGCAGTGGGGATGGGAATTATATCAGCAGCTGCCCAAGGAATCAACCCACATTTGTCAGTGCGAATTCTTAGCAGCTTAACTTGTCAGATTCACAGAGAAACCGTCACCAAATGTTTATGTGTAAATGATGCTGAATTTTGAAATCATGTGGATTATGGCGAATGGGGCCTGACAAGCTGACAGCCTCTGGTTTGTAACAAGGCGGCGCGTCACCCGTGCCGAGCAGAGGATGTTTATTGTTACACATTTCTTAAAGTGTCCGTGCAACATTCCCGCTCCCGCTGGCCGCAGCGGCGCGGCCGCCCCGGCCTCCCCTCCGCGCTCGGCTCCGGCGCACTCCTCGCGAACCTCCCCTTCCCCTCAGCCTGCTGCTCCCAGCGCAGCCAATCTGGGCCCATGTTGGGCTCCCATAAACTCTGTTTTTTCCATTCCAGTCCTGGCTCGGAGGCACTGTGTTTCCTGTGCTCATAGGAACAGTGCTCTGGTCACAGGACCCAGCTGCTTACACATACCCCATATGCTTCCCCTGCTTCACACACACGTAAGCGTAGCTCCCACATCCCCAGCGCGGCGCGTTGCGTGCGGGGCAGCTCATCCATCTGGGGGCAAGATCCTTGCAGTTGTTTCTCAGGCTTCAGCTCCTTCTGCCTGTCTGAGCCCAAGCCAGAAACGCCTCGGTATCGGTGGCTACTCCAAAAGCCTCTCAAAATAAGGGTTCGTTTTAGATCTTCTAATGAGATCACCAGAATAATAGCACCAGCTTCCTGCTGGAGCCAGGGTCGCAGGCTGTCTTCCTGGCCTGGGTCAGGCAAAGGTACCTCCTGTTCCCTGCCTTTGTGCACCACCCTGGCGCGGGCAGTGGATAGCGCTGAGACCTGCCGCTCTGTCCCGGCATTCCTGGCTCTGGGAAGGTGCAACGACCAGCTCAGGCGGGTCTCCGAGCCGGAGCAAGGGGCAAGGAGAAGGCCTTTGAGGAGGAAGCTCTGCTGTGAGCCAGGGTGGGCAGCAGCCCCTCGGCACGGGCTGGGGAGCGCAGCTGCCAGGGGTGCCAGCGCTGGGGGCAGAGCGGCTCCAGCCTCCACTCGGGTGTCTCTCTCCTTCCAGATGATCCAATCCGGTTGCTCAGGGAAGTGGTTTTGCTCACGGACGACCGGAACCTGCGAGTCAAAGCGCTGACCCGCAACGTGCCCGTGCGGGACATCCCCACCTTCCTCAAGTGGGCCCAGGAGGGCTGAGCAGGCCGAGCAGCGAGGAGAGCCCCTCAGTGAGTAACGCAGCCCGCTGCGGTGGGAGACCCGCTTCGGAGGCAGCCCTTGCCACACGTCGCCGCCGCCTTCCAGCCCTCAATGAACAATAAAACGCCACGTCTTCAACCCACCCCAGAATGGCCGTGCTGCGGAGGCCCCCCCTCCAGGGGCAGGCAAGCTGGGAAGGTCACTGCTGTGGATGGTTCATGCAGAGGCTGGGACACTGGAGGGTCCTGGCAGCCTTCGGGCAGTGCCAGGGCAGAGCTGGAGAGCCCTGCGGCCGAGGAAAGCTTTGGGTGAGCCCGGATCGCCAGCGTTTTGCTTGGCTTGGTTGCGGAGAGCGAGTCCCGAGTCCGCGGCTCGTGGGGTTTGCCGTCTGTTAGGGCAGAGACGGGATGTGGCCTTTGGGGTTCCGTGCGCTAGTGGAGCAGAGCCCGCGCTCCCGGGAGGGCTGCTGTGCCCCGCGGGATGCCCCGCACGTCACCGTGCGGCTCCCCTGCCCGCTCCGTGCCCTCCGCTCTGCCCTCCTCCCCCGGCCCCATGGTCTCCCACAGCTCCCGCGTCCCTCTCCCCTTCCCCATCCCACCCCACCGCATGGGGCTCGGGACTCGCGTCCCACCGCGGGCGATGCTGCCGCCTGGGAGTGGGGCTCTTCTCCCTCTCGGGCAGGTTGGGCTTCTGCCCGCGCTCCGGTGCCAGTGAGTTTTGAGGTGCCCCCTGCCCCGGCAGGAGGTTTGAACCGCCCCGACCCCCCAGCTGCTCTCCGCGCCCCCCTGCCCTCCCCAGACACCAGCGGCCCCTTCCCTCTGTGCCCCCAGCCCTTGGTCCCACTTCGCTGCCCTCGTTTTCCAGGCTCCTTTTCCGGGAGGCTCTCGCGCTGCACAGGGGTGCAGGGCAGGCTGGCTTGCAGCTCGCCCATCCCTGGGCTCCTTGTGGGGACCTGTCTGCACCCCTAGGGCCGGGGACAGCCCAGCAGTGTCACAGCCACCTGTGTGTGTCCCTTGTTGGGGAGGGAACCTTGAGCAGGGCCGTGTCACCAGCCATGCAGGGGCCTCCAGCCAGACGGGCAGGGGCTTTGCACCCCCCAATTGCCACGTTACCCTCCCCCAGCTTTTGCAACCCTCACCCCAACCCCAATTACCTCCATATAGCAACGAGCTAAGAGGGAGCAAGAGCCAGTGACCAGGTCCCAGGGTAGGAACAGGGCTGCAGCACCCTGAGACTGTCAGCGGTGCCCACTGCGGAGCAGCAGCCACGGGAAGGAAGCGGGAAGGTGCGAAAGGAAGCAGCAGGGCTGGAAACACCGTTTTCCTTCCCCACGTCGACGGCTCAGGGCTGGGGTCTGCGCCGGAGCGCGTTCGAGCCGCTAGCCCCGCACTAGCCCTGTCTAGGCCGTCACTGGTCCCTCCACGCGAGCCAACCTGGTGGCGTCAGAGCCTGTGATGCTCCACAGGGCCACTTGGCCTCTAACTACACTGGCAAAGGGCTGCAGTTCATGGAGGTGCCGCCCCCGCGGTGGGGTCTGCCCGGTGCCGCGTCCGAGACGAGCGAGGACTTGTGCCCCTTGGCGCGGCCCACACGGATGCGGGGCAGCAGGGGTTCACGCGTGCCTGGAGCGCGGGACCCCGAGCGGCGCCGCGCTGGCCAAGGCCGGCGGCCGAGCCGCGCCGGCGATGACGGCCACAGCAACCCGGGCAGCCCCGCGCGCTGCAGCCGCGCAGACTGTCCCCCCGAGCGCGTCCCAAACGTTCCTGTCCTGCGGAGCCACACGGAGCCGTGGAGGACGATGGCCACAACCCGGCCGCGCTCAGCTCAGCGGCCACACAGCAACGGTGCCCGCAGAGAGCGGGAGCCGCGGCGCCCGCCGCGCGAGTGGGCGCCCCTCGCGCAGGGAGACGCCTGCATTCGGGTGACTCTGTTACGATGGTTTTAAGAGGTTTTAGTATTAAACACTTGTCTGTGGTGCCGTGTCGTTCCTTGTGCTGGGGGAGCTGCGGCGCGGAGCTGCAGGGAGGAGGGACGGGGCAGAGCAGCCCTGCGGCCACCACTGTCCCCTCGAGCCTGCAGCAGCTCTGGGCCGGGCAGGCTCCGTGTGAAGCGAAGGTCCCAACTTTCCCCACCGCAGAGCGCCCCGACGGGGGGCACCCCGTCCTCATCGTCCCGGGGACAACGTCCCACGAACACAGCCGCGGCAGCCCCGGGCCCCACAGAAGGACGCGAGGCCGCCTGTGTTAATGTCACTTTATTGCTTGTTCGCTTTCGACTATAGAAAAACAAAAAGGGCGAGGAGCCCGTGTACAAATCGGACGCGATCGAGAGCGGGCCGGGCGGCCCCGCTGGGCGCTTCCAGCTGTGCTTTGGGTGCAGCCGCTGCTGCCTGCTCCCCGGGCAGGGCGGCCCGGCGGGACCCCCCGAGCGGCCGCCGTCCCCGGGGCCCCCGCGGGCAGGAGCGGCTGGGGGGTTAAGGCACAGTGACCGCGAGGCCGGGGACAGCGGCTGCCCCGGGGCCTCGTGTGCAAAGGAGAGGACCGGGGACGGGGGGAGAAGCTTCACATTAGCCCCAGGCAGGGGGTGGCGCGGCGGGGCGGGAGGAGGGGGCCGCTCTGCCCACCCGCGGCGCGAGGGGAGCGGGGCGGCGGGGACCGGGCGCCCCCCTCCCGGCTCCGGCTGCCCTCCCCGCTCGGCCCGTGTCCGCGCAGCCGACAAACCCGCCGGCTTTGTCGTTGTCGGAAACAGCGGCCGCAGCCCCCCCGGAGCGCCCGGCCCGCGCTGGGGATGGGGATCTTTGGCCAAAGGGCTGGGGGGGCAGCGGGAGCCGCCCCGCGGGGCCCCGGGCATCCCTGATACGGAGGCAGGGCCCAGGGGCTCAGTCTGTGGCGGGTCCTGCAGGGGGGACGGGGAGGGCAGCGCGGGTGAGGAGCGGGCGCCTCCCCGCGCCCCTGCCCACCCCGCGCTCGCTGCCCGCTCTGTCAGTCCGTCCCGAAGCGCCGGGCGCCGGGGAAGAGGCCCGTGGGGTGGCTCCGCGCTCGATGGATGAGCTACTCACGGGCCCATGGCGCTGCAGGCGGCCAAGTCCCCGTCCCGTCACGGCAGGAGCCCTGTGGGCAGCCGGCCGGGCGGGAGCCGGCCCTGAGGGTAGGAGCGGGCTCATGTCCTCCACAGCCCCGGGGCCGGGCCCGACCTCACGGCCCGCGGCTTCGCCCCCGCCGCAGCCCCCGGGCCGCCCCGCCGGCCAAGTCCCTGAACCAGCGGCTTCCTCCTGAACCAGCGGCTCCCTGCAGGCCATGCCCGACAGCCCCTCCGCCACCAGCGAG